AATGAAACCTTTAGACAACATGTAGTATTCTCAGCCATAAAATGTGCTGTCATGGTTTAAAAAAAAAAAAAAAAATATATATCCATTGTGAGGGATACTCTTCATGGTTTGAAATGTCATAAGAGGAGTCCAACCTTGCATTGAGGAGTCCAACCTTGCATTGCCAAGAAGGATAATTGCAAACCCCCTTGTATCACAAGATGGTTAGGGAGAGAATAATTTCTACCACCTCTCTGGGTAACCTGTTCATCGTCCTTTGTACCATGTCCAAAACAATTGTAAAAAACAGTTTAAGTATCAGTTGAGATCAGGGAAAATGCTGAGGTTTTGCAGTAAAAAGTAGCTGAAAACAAAAAGCAAAGCCAAGCTCCTGCAGAGGAACAGGACCAGCCAACTCCTAACCCAAAAGCAAATTTCTGCAGTTCAGAGCACTCATGTTCTCCAACCTGGAGGGAACTGGGGGGAGTCTGTGCTCTTCAAGACCTGAGCCTTCCTCCAGAAACGTGAGAGAAAGCCAATTTTAACTAAAAAACTTGCTACAAAAGGAAGGGAATTTGTTTGTCCATGTTATGCTTGAGCGCCGTGACCCGTTCTGCAGGTGAACATTTACTGACCATGGCACTGAGGGTGCCACTGTGGTGGCCACGCTCCGTGGCCGGTGACGCTGTGCCGGGCGGTGGAGGCAGATGCCATCGCTCCTGCACCGCTTCTTGCACAGACGGAGGGCGAGGTCTGGGGCTCTGCACCCCCACAGCACCCAGGGTCACCCCCAGCGCGACTCCACCCATGGTCAGCCAAATAAAGTGGAATCTACTGCGTCAATAAAATGATGTACAACTTGGGAAATATGAAAATACGTATTAGGGACTAATTTGGGGTGTTGCACAGGCTTGTTTGGATGTAAATCTGTGCCATATTTGTAAAATAACCAGATCATCGATAGAAGAAATCTATGATACATGTTTAGTTTTTCAGTAAGCCATTCTAACCAGATGCAGTGAAGACCTGCAAAGTCTTTTCCTTATCACTTTTGACCACAATTTCTCATTTCTTAGCAGTCTCCTCTGAATAGAAAATCCTTCAAGTGATGTTAAACACAGAGCACTTCCTCAGGATGAAAATAGCCAGATTTAAAACAAAAATGACGCTTCAATCCAGAAAATAATTATTCTGTACCACGTACTCTAAGGTTACAGAACATCACACGATTTGGACCCAAAGCCTTCAAAGAGCTGCCCATTCCCCAGTGCCAGATGGTGTAGGTGGCTCTGGGGTGCCCTGGGGTCCCCGGGACTGCGCACAGGAGAAGGGGAGGCATGGAAAACCCTTGTCACTAGAGGGCAACTCAAACTATTTACCTCTTTCAACATAAGCCCAAGATCATTTTGTAACCATGTCAGGTCTCACATCACAACAGCTTCATTACAGCATAATCTCAGTAATTGCATCTGTATTCTAGGAGAGATGGGACCAAGACACGTAATGGTGCTGCACAGACCTTACAAACAATCTCAACACTTTGCAGTCACCAAATATCTCTGCCTGCAGATCAAGCAAAAAATGACCTGCAAAGCAACAGAAAACCTTTTGGAAGCAGCACACTGTGCCCAAGCTCTGGGAGGAGAGCCCCTGCCTTGGGCTGCGGCTGAGCTACCATCAGTCCTAACACAACTGAGATTGTTCAACAGCCCCAGTGGTGTTAATGGTTTGCTCAGTATAAAGCCAACCCTCCCAGCTCTGCCCTTGCAGAGGGACACAGTGATTAGCATTTTCAAATTAATTCCGTTAGTTCTGGAGATCTACCCATTGCCCAAAGCAGTGCTCAGGACCAGCTTTGGGGAAACCCAATGTGGATTCAAGAGGAGTGCAAAGTTCAAGGATCTGCCAGCTGCAGTGCAAAGTTCAGAAGACGTTTCTGCTGAGCAGGTGGCTGCTGCTCTTTGTGTCCTTAACCCCTCGCAGCGAGCACTGCGGCACAGAGCTAAGGTGGAAAGGTTGGCTGCTGTTTGAAAATCTGAGGCCAGAGCCTCAGCCAATATCAATTGACATTTCTCCTTCAAAGCAATGAGACCACTGTGGTTTAGCCACACACAACCTCTGGCCCAGATCTTGTAGAAATCCAGCAGAAAAGACAGACAAATGATAAAAGGTTGCTGATGAGTTGCAGTGTTTGACCACCGTCCCTGCTAAAACAGCTTTCAGTGTTGAAGGAGGGACTAGCAGTACCATCCTGCTGCAAAAAGCAACCGAGATGACAATGCTCGGTAGTAACAGCCCAACCAAAAAAGCAGAGGGATGCTCTCCATTTAGTCTCTCCTTGACTGCTTTTATAAGTGTTCCAACAAGCCCCAGAGCACGGTAAGCTCAGGGACACCAGTCATGTCCTTCCCAGATGAAAAAAGAACTGTGCCACAGTTTTCTTTGTCCTTCTTAAACCAAAGCAAATCCCTGCTAAGCAGTATGGATTATATACATAGCTCAGGAACTCCCGTGTGTGGCAGGGACATGCCAAAGAAAGCCACCGTCTTTGCACCAGCTCAGAAGAAGAATTCACTGACCTTGGCACGAAGTGTCAGGCTGCTGCCCTCAAACCATTGAGGTCTTTGCTCATCAAGTCCAGAAGGCAGCAGGAGAGAGGAGTTGTCTTTCCAGGACTTACATGATCCCATCTGTGATTCATGAGCATCTCACATGTCCTGGGAAGCAGCGCAAGGGTGCGGGACCATGGCACCAGCCTTGCAGGGGGAGGCTCCACAAGCCCAAGGGATGGATCCAGGTCTTTCAGATATCACAAGCACTGTAGTCACTGGACTGTCTTTTCCTCCTGATCTGTAAACACGGATCAGGAGAAAAGTCTGCAGATATTTCTGCAGCACCAAATGTGACTCTATATCCCTACAAAAGCATTTGATGTTTCTTCTCCTTGTTCAGTTGATGGACAATTTTTTTCCCCTGACCCAGATACCACATAGAGTTTTTCAAGCCTTGTATTTTCATCAGTCACAACAGTAAATGAGTCCTGTTTGTCACTCACAGAAACAATTTAAAAGCATTAGAAATGCAGCTCTGTGCATCACAGCAGAAAGGGAGGTATTGGAGTAACGGCCTAAGCCCTGTGTTCATACCCACCTAAAAACATGTTACCAGCAAAACAAGTGTCAATTTACAACCCAGTTGATGTTTTCCTGATATCATTGCTTTGCTTTTAATACAGTATTTTGTTTCTTGCTGTTTCTTGTTTTGTGTTCCTGGAAGAACAAATCAAAACACAGCAACCGGAGCTGCAGCAATCAGCAACACGGGTGAGAGATGGAAAACAATCCCTCATGCAGGAGAGCACTGGTGTGGGCAAGACCGTCACAAGCCCAAACTGTCCTGGACTGTGGCGTTTTTCAGAGCTTTGTGTGGCCCAAATTTTCAGATCTGCTTAAAGGATCTGAAGGGCCAATTGTTTTTGATAGGACTTGGATGACAAAATCAGGTGCGTGCCTCTGCAGATGCCAATTCCTTACGTTACACTGACACGTCACAGGGAAAAAATGATTTTTAGAAATCTGTGTGAGTTCCCAATTCTTTTAATTTTAGATGGTTTTAAATTTTATTTCTAAAAAGTGATTTCTCCCTAGATTTAGGGTATCTTTTATCTCTCTCCTATTCTTCTCATCTTCTTTTAGCAATTTCATCTTCACACCGTCGCCCTTTACTCTTTCACATTGGATTTGCAATAACACTTTGAGTGGCCCCTTCTCTTCCCCAGCTACTTTGCTATATTCCCCTCGACACCAGCCACCATCAGCCACTCTGACTCGGGCTCTCGGGTGAGGCAGGTTGTCCTGTTTGTACAGAGCTCCACACCTGAGAGAAGCCTTTCTGCCTGGGCTGTGGAAGTCAGAATAACGGCTGTGATTCAAATATAATAAAAAGCAATTTGAACACTTGACGAGAACTCGACTTGAATTGAAACTGGAGCTGCAGCAATTTACACCAGCTAAAGATATTAGTATTTTTTTTTTTCCTATGACTCGAGAGACTCAATTCAAGCAACGTTCCTACCTTTGCTGATATAAGTTCTCGCCTATTAGGGACCAGCTAAACATTCAGGAGGCTGTATACAGCAATTTCTTCTAGCACCAAGTGCACAGAACCACAGGAACCAGGCCAGCACCTTTCGTACCGGGGCAAAGCCCCAAAGGAGCGGCAAAGCCATCAGAGCACCCCCATGGAATTGCAGATATGAGAAATAGTCATTAATGGTGGTTAGTCATTGGCCTCCAATATCAAATGCTTTCTCGTTCCTCTAATTTCACTAGACAAGCAGTGAGTCCTGGCTGATGAAGTCACAAACACAGAATTAGCTCACAAGATCACCACGTAGGCAGTCACAACACTCAGAAAAAGCCAGCGCTCAAAAATTGTTCACTCGTGGTTATTCAGGAGTGGTCACTGGGATCACCCATGGTGAAAAAAGTATTTTGCAAAATTTTTTGAGCCATTTATAACCCCAAAGAAGATTGCTCATATGTTAGCAAACGTTATTTTTACGCTGCCAGGCAACCCTGCTGGTAGAGCTGCTAAAAATGACTCAGAAAACATTTGGTTAGTTGTTGGTCTTGATTGCCATAATTAACTTTTGACTGTTTGTTTGTTCCTTTTTTAAATTGTTATCAAATATCTACATCTTCACAGGCTTTGCCGGGATCCACCTCCACTGGTGGGAAGTAGAAGACCACCCGTTCCCTGGTTTGCTGGGGCAGAGCACAGGGATTAAAATCACCCAGGTCCTGGCTCTTCCCTTTTCCAAGGAAGCTCTTCAATGTGGGAGCTTCTAGTAATTGATACGTGAACAATTTTTAAGAAGTTAGACACTTGTTTTAACATAGCTGCACTAATGCACATTCCTCATTTATTTATGCACATAATAATATCATAATAATAATAATTTGAGAATAAAGTAATAAGAAGCTAGATTTTTCCTTACCTTTTTGGAAAGCAGGCAAAAGCTATACAGTAGGTGGAAGAGTGTACCAAGTAACAGATTTTTTTTTTACTGGTGGTATGCAGTCTACAGGAAAAGTAAATACATTGGTATGTATAATAGGTCTGTTCACAATAAACTCTTCAAAATTCTGCCCTGTCATGGAGGCCACGACATTAACCCAACTGAAGAGCCCAGATTAGGGCAGCCACAGTGGAAAGCTGAGACGCCAATATACGAAATTAACTCTGGGCTAGAAATAAATGAACCAGTTCACAGAAGCTCAGGTACCTCTGAACATGGGAGCAGCTGCTCAAAACAGAGCAGGTCTGGCTGATGGGTTGGGGTTTGTTTGATTGATTGTTTTTCCCTCTCCCTTGAACAAACTCTGGAACATTTTGGATTTAGTTTAAGACCACCCAGTCCTTCCTCACCCACCCTCAGGTTCCTCGGCATCAGCAACAACCATTTTAGTTTTCTTCCTCAGAAAGATGGAAGAGGCAACGTGATGTCAGGGCTGTTGGGGATGAACAGGAATGAAAACACAAACACACCAGGGCAGAGCAGGGGAGCATTCACACAGCCATGTCTGTCCGAGACAGGAGATGCTTGTGTTCCACGTACACTATCCACAGTTTACTGATGGGACCCCACAAAGGCAACGTCCATTGTCAACACGTGGAGAAGAGTGAGGATGGACAGACACTGCTCCCGCTGCTGCCGCGATGGAGAGGAGCTGACAGCGCACAGGAAAGCACCGTTTGAACGTGGAAACATGCAAATGGTGCCTGGTCTGTTTGGGGACAACGGGCAGCGATTGCACTTCACTGAAAACTGAACCAACTGCCAAGCAAGCTCCACTTAATGCTAAATAAAGGAGAAAGAGAAAAAATCATCTCGAATATGGCTGCACAGGTACTGAGCCCTCAGAGCACCTGCTAACTTAGAAATCCACAATATTATAACACTATTGAAAATGAGACTGGAAATTATGAGTTTTTAGACCTTAAAGTTTTCTGGCTAGTCCATGGTGACACCTTTCCTTTGCCACTTCTCAACAAATCTCAACTAAACCCCTCGGGGAAAGCTGTCCCTCCCATCAGAGCTGCTCTGTCTTTCCAACTGTTGTTTGTCACATTGATGCACTCGGCCTTTGCCACAGAGATGCTGCACATCTCCTGTTCAGTACTGGGTACTACTGGGCTACTCTGCACTACTTGTCTTGATCTTGGAGCTTTATTGGGATAGCAGGAAAAAAAAAACCAAAAAAAACAAACAAAAAAGGGGTAAATTTCACCACAGCCATTCTTAGCCTGTGAGATTTTTTCCCAGGAGATTAGAAATGTGGACTCTGGAAGACCAACACTCCCTGTGCTGCCAGGTCCTGAAAGACCCTACCCCAGTTCCTGCAAGAAAGCATCTCCCCAGAAGAGCAGCTCCCTGGAGGCTTCCCTCTCCCAGCTGCTTCAAGAGCAAACACCCTTCCAGTAAGGTTGCTTGTCCAGCCCGTGCCAGGGACATGTGGCTCATTAGCAAACCTAATTAGCAAGGCACCCAGATGCTTATTTCCCTGTTGCTCTGTTTGGTAAAGCCATGAATTACCACAAGATGCTAGAGAAAATGTGTAATTACATGGAAATCTCAATGTAAGTTAAGTATGGGTTGGAGGGTCAAATGTTTTTCTCATGGTCTGACACTCTGCTCTTGCAGCAGAAACATGGAGAACTGAGCAGAAGCTCTCACTATCTGCTCAACTTCAAGCTTGATGAGAAGTGACTTCTCAAATAGTGTGAAATTTGACCAAGGACACATGAGAACAGAATGAACTCATTACACGGATGGAAGCTGCTCATCTGAACCTGCCGCAAACATGTAGTAGCAGGAAGAAGCTGTTGAATGAGTGAAAGCATGCGCGTGCCAGAGGGCAAACTGGAATGGTTCAGAGAGTTTTCAACCTGGTTTTAGATTGAAAAGCGTGGCCTTAATATATCCCACTCCGCATGAAAGTCCTCCCAGGCCCTGGCTGGGGAGCTCAACTTGTGGAGTTTCTTCCAGCCCATATATCTTAAATAAAAACCTGTAACACAGCGAGTCCCTCTTCCTCATGATGGGTGGGTTATAAGGTCACTGCATTTCAAGTGATTTTCCTCCTGCGTTAGTACAGTTTCTTTTTTTACACTCACACTTGAGCCTCAGCCCTTGACCCCAACCCTCCTAAGTGCTCTGCACATTTTTTCCAAGCTCAAATTCCTGCAAACCACCCAAGAGTTGTGTCCAGCGTTTCTACACGATGCTCAGTGCCGCTGCTGAGGACCACCTGCTCTTAGGAAGCCTCTCGGGTAATTTGTAGTCCTTCCAGTTTCACACGCACTTCTTTCAAGGCTATTTTTCTGCAAAACCATCCACATTTTGCTTTTGGTTTTGACTCTGGCATATAAGTAGGACAGGCCATAAATTTGTGCTCAGTCACCAAACTCCCCAATGTTTGGAGGTACATGAGTCCCATGCTGGTGGCTCCGTGTCAATCAGTTCTTAGGAGACAGGAAATATTTGTGTATTTTCAAGGGAAATGGCAGCTCCAGTCTCCAGTACCTGAGCAAGCCATGAACAGAGGCATCACCAGGAAATGCAATAGAAAATCAAAGTGGAAAACCCAACTGTACTTTGGCACTTATGAAAAAACGCTTGGTAGCTAAGCCAGATCTGCATCTCATCTCAGCTAGCTTTGCACAGTGCTAATGAGCATCAGAATCACCCTTTAATCCCCTTCAATTAATTTACTTTCAGCCTAACGTAGTGAGTTTCAGAGGAGCCTGGCACAGAGCTCACAACGAGGACTTCCCAGCCCTGTGATCCTCAGTTAAATTGCTATGAAAACATCAAAACCTTATTTATTTACAGAAACCATTTTCAAAATGTCTTTGAAAATGTGGAGAGTTTTGCTCCGATGACACTGCTTTTTTTGAGCTCATTACTATCATTTTCAATTTTTCCACCTAAAGCCAGAATGCAAACAGGTTTTTTAGACAAAATATTAATATTTTTTTAAAAAGAAGCTCATTCCAGGTATTCAATGAATTACTTGTGTAGACACATGTGCTGAATGTTGCCTGATTAGGGGGTTAATTGGCAACCTATTGAATGCTGTAGGAGAGCTCCCATTAACTGTAGTACTCACCTACGCTGAGACTAAATGTACCCAAATACTTTAAGTACAGCAGCAGTTTATTTAATTTGATTTTCTAATGATTTTTACTAACACACATACCCAGAGAATGAAATAGTAGTAGTAGATGCAGCTGATAATATGAACAGATGTTACCATATATATATATATATAAAAATAATTAAAATATTTAAAAGAACATTTATTTTCCAAACCATAAAAAACATTTAAAAGCCCAGCACTTGGAAAAAGACGTATAAATGAATACTACTGCACATTTCCTGACTGGCTAGGTTGAACAAATTTATATGCTTTAGAATCCTGCATGTAAGCAAACGAGTTCAGAGAAAGCATTCTTCCTTCACGCACCCTAATTTTGAAGTTGGGAGGGTTTTGGTCCCAGTGGACTTCACCCCAGCTTTAGATCGGGGTTAACACCACCAGGACTGAAGAGGGGATGCTTAAGGCAGAGAGCGGTAGGTCTTGGCAAGCAGAGGGATCCTGTCCCTTACTTCCCCTGCTTCTTAAAAACATATTCTAGTATATAGTCCTGACTGAAAAAATGGTGTGTTTTACCAGGAATATGGCAGGTTAAGTGAGCAATGCTTCTTTTTAACAAGCAGATCTCCTTCCCCGGGAAAAATCTGACTGTTCTTGGCGAGGGGGAATATTCTCAGAAGTCTGAAACCAGCAATAAGATGCAGCACAGGAGAAAGACCAGGAGGAGAAACCCCCAGGTTGGAGTTCCCACAGGGGTCTGCCTCTGCTTCTACATTGAACATTTCATCAGCAGAACTTCTCTGTTGTTCTTGTTCAAGTCTTTGAGTGGAAATTTTTAGATTTTGATTTTTCTGGAGGAGAAACTAATTCCAACCCGTTTGACCAGAACAGCACGTACTGAGATGCAGCTCAGCAACACACCCACCTGCCCTTCCCCAGCTTGTTCTACATCCCCTTCCCTCCTCCCTTTCCTCCTCCTCCTCCTCTCCCTCCATCCTCCCAGGTCCTTTCCCAGTGGGTGTCTCGGGGAGCGGTGCTGCCCCAACACCTCCAGGAGCGGTTGGAGTTTGCACACTGGAGGGTGGGAACAAGCAGGAGCATCCCAGCGAGGGGGAGATTTGGAGAGCAGAGATGCTGGAGCGGGTTCCTTCCCCTCAGCCTGTATTTCCATATTTCCTAACAGAAATGTGACTTGGCAGAGGACTCTGCAGCTCCCACTCTTGCTGGGTGACACCCCAACGCAGGAAATACATTTATTTCCTCTTGCAGTGAGAGCTCTGTTCAGCATGACTGGAGGAGGCACAACATGGTCCTTCATTTATGAGAAGCATTTCCTTACTCTCTTATGTCAGAATCAGCTCAGATAGTTCACCTCGTTCCGTTTCCAAAGCCAAATTTTGTTTCCCCAGTTAGAATATATTTCGTATACCTGCATGATAAGACTTCAGAAAAAAATACTCCAGGAGCAAATAAAGGGAGGAGAAGTGCTGTGTCAATACTTTGCTGGCTGTTTCCACTGTGCTTTGACAGCGGAGCTTCTGCTTTGAGGCAGATATTCAGATGCAGTTAACAGAGGGGAAGTGGCAGGGATTTCAGCAGCGAAGGGATGAGCGGATCAGGGCACGGAGAGACCATTTCTCCACATCCAGATCTGCTTTGCACAAAAACTGCAGACGGGCCTAAACCTTTCCCATACGCTACAGAGTTGTGCAGCTGTCTCCTTCCTCAACTCCTTCCAGATTCAAATGCAAATCAAATTGGATGGCCTCAGTATGTAATTTCGTGCTACAATACACCATGCTCTGCACACTGAGGAAACTGGGACCGTCTTTTCCATCTATTTTCCTTTTAAATCGGTGGTAAGATTTGCATTCACTTTTACAGGACAGGATAAAATCCTTAAATGGGAATCTCCAAGGATGGTGAGATATTTTGTAAAGAAACTTTAAGAGAAACAAAACTCTAACTCAGGTCAGCAGAGTTATCCATGAGTTTGGTACTTGTCCTTCCATCCATCCTGGAAGCTGCCCCTGCCAGGGTTAGGAAGGTTGGAGTTTGAGGCAGGTTGAAGGGTCAGGTACTCAAGGATGCTGCTGATGTCTTACTCCAAGGAGGGGAAGGAGAAGGAGCTACTCACGAGCTACCAAACACTTTGTGAGAAGCTGCTACCGATTGGCACAACTCAAAAAAGTGAGGAGGAAACAGAGAATTTAAAATAATACATGGGAGGTATCAAAAATCCTTAACTGAGAAGAACAAATAATACAAAGACCCTAACCCTCAGATATTGGTCAGTGCCTGCAAACCCCCCAGCAGCCAAGGAAGAGAAGAGGAGCAGTACTCACTGTTTGGGTCTACGTTCTCACACAGCTCTGTTTTGGCTTCGCCGTTGGGCCTGTCGCTGGGTTTGTGCGAGAGCCGTGACGACATGGTGGCTGCTGTGACCACAGCTTTGAAGCTGCGTTTCCGTTTCTGGACGTTTAGCTCAGGGTGGAAGATGATGATGTACACCTTCGGCATGTAAAGCATCCCCAGGGCCACTGAAGCACTTAAGTTCATGGATATTGTAAGTGTGGTAGTTTGTATGTAGAGCTAGGAGACACAACACATGAGACACTATTACAAATAAGATGACTGGGAAGGAGGTTGCAGTTTTTCAAACATTAAGTAAACATTTAAAAGCAATTTTTAATGAGTTTGCAACCAAAGATGCGGGAGCTGAGACCTTTGCACTGCAAACCTCCACGAGGTCCAACACATGTCAGGTACCTGATATATCAACAGCCTCTTTGGATGCTCAAAACTTTCAGTGTCCTTCTTAACAATACAATTTCTACTGTATGCTTATGGTATAGCTTCTGCTTCTTTATTTAAAGACTGAAGATCAAATTTGGATTGAAATAATGCTGGTATAAATTTGAATTTAGGTCTACTGTACATTATAGAAGGGGAACTATAATAATAGACATTAATAAAAAATATACTTAAAAAAAAACTTGAGGAAGGTGGAATTATTTTGTTTTTATTATACTCCAATTCTCTACAATTCACTGAAATAACTCTGCAGAGAATACACCATGATTTGTGTTCTCATGGCATTCAGCTATGCTTATTATGAAAAATTAGTATATATGTAAGTCAGAGAACAGGTACTGCCATGAGATGGGTATTCAAAGAAACCACAAGGATTCAAATATAGTCCGCAAATATACAGGGCTAAAAAAGCTTCTTTTTTTTCTTTACTTTAAAAAAAATATATATTTTCAGAGGACATATTTAATAGATAAACTAGAACAATTCTCATGACTTAAGAGGATTAGGCACAGTTAAGAGGCACAGAGATCGCACAATACAGGTGTGAGGGAGCTGAAGAACGAGCAAAGTCTCTGAGGATCCTTTTCAAAAATTAAATATACAGTAAATCCATACAGATGGGAAAATCATTACACATCGAGAGCGATTTCTTCTGAACACTATTTCCTCTTCTCCTCCTATTCAGTGCTAATCAGTCTGAATTTCTGATGGAAAAACTCCATGAATAAATATAATGGCAGAGTAAAATGCTGACTCTGCCCAGGTATTTCCAAATTCCCATATTTAGAAGAATATGAATGTCTCCAGACTTGCCAGTTTTATCTACATAACAGTTGCTATTCTGGTGATTAAGATCAGCACTGGAAGCAATAAATGCCTTACAGAAAACATCAAACCCTAAGCGCTGTGCAGGGCTGTGTCTCCATGCAGACAGGCACAAACTGAAGTGCTTCCACAGTTTCTATTTGCTCGTTCTCAGGAGGAAACGACACCGACCTTGTCAGAAACTTTGCCTAAGGCAGGACACTGGGACATAACCACCATCTGGTGAAGAGAGATGCTGGGCCAAGCTGCACCATTCCAGGCTGGGAGGGAGCCCAAGGGGTCACCTCAAGCCCTGCCCAAGGAAATGGAATGTGTTCCATTCACACCAGAACTACCTCTGCCAGATCACCCTGTCTGCCCACGTCCTACACCCACCCTCTGATGGAGCTTCCACAGCTCCTGACCAAACCCCTGCCCAGCACTAAAACGTTTGGTCTGTACCTGAATGAAGCTGCTGATTGTCCTCTCCTGGTGGCACAGAGAGCAAGTGGCCACCACACCCTCTGTTACCTTCTTTTATAGATTTAAATAGTTATTGTGTTCTGGAGAACCTCTATAGAGCAGCATGGTACCACGTTGCCCCTTGGTATTTGACAGATAATGGGGTAATTTCTCCCAAATTCAGCTGCTGGGAAGATCTCAGGCTCTTCTGTCACCCCCTAACCTGGACACCGCTGTTGCCTTGGTCCTTCACCACGGTGAGATGCTCCAAACTGAGCGTGGTGATGTGCTGAAGGCCTCCTGGCTGCAGGATCGTGCTCTGAATTTATCTTAGAGCACTGCTGTGAAATACAGTGTTTATTTTTCACAGTCAGGTAGTGCTGCTGCCCGCAGAGTTAGTACCTGGCTGGTTATTCCTCTCCTTATATCCTGCAGTTGAATGTTGATACACTACAGATATACACTCTATATATTTATTTCTATGTACATAAGCACTATGTCTATTTATATTATAAGAACATTTAAAAGAGCAGACAGTTCACAATGTATTTGCTTCCTTGGAGCTGATCCTCCTTTCAGTCATGTTTACATAAATCAGCTGTAACTTGGTCGGGGTCAAGTGCATTGCATTGATATAAATAACACAGACTTAAATATTTATTAAATAAATTGAATAGCTAGAAGTGAAATATATAAAATATAACATTTAAGGGACAAAGGATAAACAGGAAGATACCCTCCTTATCTTCAAAACGTTCAAAAGTCATCAACAGCTTTTACCCTTGCTAATTTAGGTAATTATTATTTCTACTTTATAAAAAGCTCCTGCAATTGTTAGAGGAGCTGCAGGTACCAACACCTCTAAAGGCCAGGAAGATGTTGTGGGCTGCACACTGGACAAATGACATTACACCCCGGGACTGTCTGGTTCCCAGCTCTGCATTCAGACCACACGTCTCTGCTAACACTTGGGAAGAAATCTTGCTCAGATCCTGTCTGCAGTCCTGCTGGTTCATTCTGAAACGGGCACAGCCCTAAAACACGTGTTTAATAAGAATCACCTCTGTTTCTATACACAAGATACGTAACTAAACCTGACAGGCACAGAACATCTCCTCAGCAGTATCACTGAACGAGATCGACGTTGCTACAGGGCTGGAGAAGATGCACGTCAGGGAAGAGCTCTGCCACAAATGCAGATGTGTTGGCACTTCAAAGCCGTGTTTTGTTCAGCAGTTGTCTCAAACGACTTCAACTCGCTGGAAGTCTGTTCAAGTAGCCATACAGTGAAAAGTAGACAGTAATGTTTTTGCAACTAACTCTTGAGACCATAGAAACCTTTATAAAGAAAGTAGAAATTTGGACCACAGGGCAAAAAATAATAATAATTAAAAAAACGAAAATAAAAGCTAATGGCACTGCATTGCCAGCATGACACAGGTAATTAGTTGGTTATGTTCCACAGACAGAAATAGCCTATTTATCTTTGATTACAGATTTTCTCCACCCAAATCCCACTTCTTTAGCATGGGAAACAACAGCTCCCCATAGGAATTTCCATGAACTTGTCAGTTAAACAAAATAACTTTCCATCACCACACACATATGTCAGAGACACACTGCGTGCGACAGCAACAGAAAACCCTAGAACAGCAGAAGGAAGATGCATTTTGAATAAGAGCCACTTTTAAAAGCACTATGTAGCAAGAAGTTTTCAAAAGGGTCCTCAGCAGGAGGATCCGTTACCCACGTGTGGCATTTTCCAAATTCTGGAGCAGCTGGTGGGGTGGATACACAAAACTAACATTTCTTTTCAGAAAGACAAGATAAGAACAAGGGGAGATCGCACACACCAAGAGAAGAAGAGGATCCAGTTTGCACAGCTCCTTTGGAACAGGGGACACAACCTGCCCAGGTACACACAGCAACCGCCAAAAATCTGCCACCGGAGCCGGTCGCTGTCCTGACCCCACACGGGTGTTTTGGGTGGGTGGGCACAGGTTTTCCAAGCCACTGTGGGTGATTGCTGCACCAGAGCTCGAGCACCTCCACAGCCACATGTTATGGCCGGTGGCTTCCTGGCGTGGTCTTCCATGGGCTGCACCAGTGGGGACCTGGCCTTGCTTGGAGGTGACTTACCCAGGGGATGGTTTGACCCAAGATTTTTCCCTTTATCCCAGGCTGCTGTGATTGCAAAAGCAGCAGAACACCAGTAACGTGTTTGTCTAAGTGCACACCGGTATTAATTTTTATTTCCTTCTGCTATCAAGGGGTTGAAGGTTCAAGGTTTATTTAGTCAACAGGGTCTTTTGCAGCACCACGCCAGCGAGTTTTCCTACCTTAGAGACGCTGATGGGAGATAAAAGGAAAGGGAGAAAAAAGCTTTTGTAGAACAAGGCAAGATGAGTGACACACAATGATTCTCATGACAAACGGGAGCTTTGCAAAGATAAGGGAAACTAATAGATACGCTTATTATGCACAGCCTCAGTTTTATGTATTTTATCTGTGCTTTGTGGTTTTACCACTCAAACATAAAAATGCAGTTTACGTGAAACTATTTCATTTCTTATTTCACTTCTTCTGATAAACTCCCTGAAAGCATTTCAGATGAATGCAAATGGGTGACTTAAAATACAAAGGATAAGATTTAACTGACAATGGGAGTCTAATAATTCATGCATGCCTTTTACAGCTGGCTGGTGAAACCTGATAGTTTCCAAACCTGAGATCAAATTAAGAAATTAAGATGCAGATTTAGTGAGAGATGCTCGAACTTGACACGAATGAGAACTGGGATTGAGCTAAGTATTGCCAGTGGAAAGCAGAGCTTTCTAAAATGAATGCAGAGTTGGTCTCTGCAAGCCCACTCCCATGGAGGGCTTCAAGCCACATTTGCTATGTCACAAGGACAAAGTCATTCTGGAGGGTCATCCTCACCCACACCTCTCTCTTTCTCTCTCTCTCAAGCAGCCTCTGAATTTTGACAATTTTTAACTTAATGTTAAACTTATCACAGTGCTGTTACAAATGCATCAGACTTTGAAGCAGTGCACTGGAGAAAACTCAGCCCTAAGGATGTCATTCACATGCAAAGGCACCTCCATTTTAACATTTATTTTACAGGAAGGATTTCCATTTGAATTTTAGATTTCCATGGATTTCAGATTCCTGCTTTATTCATGCAAATGACAAAAAATTACCTTCAAAACCTTGAGAGAAAATTAGACTGGTCTTGAATACACACATCTAATAAGCAGCAATTTTTATAGAACAAATTATATCAATGGATGATTTTGCATGAGCTGGGTTTATTCTCAGCAGTGAAGCCCTGCAGGATCAGGCCTCTCGCTCTGTGCTAACCCAGGAGATGGATTTCCAATTGCTGGGCCATAATAACTGAACTTGTAGCTGCAGATCTTAGAGAAGTCTCTCTCTGCGTCAGAAATACTTTTTGTAGGCTAATGCTTTGCATTCACAGTCTAATCAGGAGCAACTGCTCCTTTTATCTA